TGGAAGTACACTCTCGACGGAACGAACATCTTCCTGATCAACCTTCTTGGTGTGGTTGTGTTTGTAATTTTCGACTATCATGTTTTGGGCAAATTTTTGGGCTTGCAGAACTGGATCACACACCCAGCTTTGATTTTCCCTCTCGCTCTGCTCTCCATCATTCCTCTGGCCTATTTCATTGGGCAAGCCGTTGCCTCGATCTCGGCTCAATCTTCCATGGGCTTGGGTGCTGCAATCAATGCTTTCTTCTCAACTATCGTAGAAGTATACCTCTACTGTGTCGCTTTAACGGAGGGCAAGGCTCAGCTTGTCGAGGGAAGCATCATCGGCAGTATCTTTGTCGGCATTCTGTTTCTCCCTGGTTTGTCCATGTGCTTCGGTGCACTCAAACGCAAGACGCAGCGGTTCAATGTGAAATCGGCCGGTGTGACCTCGACGATGTTGTTGTTTGCAGTGATTGCTGCTTTTGGTCCCACTCTTTTCTATCAGGTTTATGGCAGTGTAAGTTTCACCTCTCTTCGCAAACGAATCTAAACTGACTGGCTCATAGCATGAGCTGAACTGTCACTCGTGTGTCAGCTTCCTCGATCCAGAGACTCGAGATTGCCGTCGCTGTTATTTCTCACAAACAGCGGCTGTCGATGACCAGTTCTTTCAAAATGCGGTACAGCCATACGCATGGATCGCCGCGGTTTTCTTGTTCCTTTCATACGGAATCGGCCTATGGTTTACTCTTAGGACCCATGCTGCTCTCATCTGGGCATCAGAGATGGAAGAAAAGAAAAATTCCCAGGCCCATACCACTCAATCTGTCCAAGACTCATTCTACGAACCACGGCACCTGCTGTTCCCAAATGGCCAACCGGAAGCCTCCGGTGCCGCTTCTGGGTCCAAGGATTCAATCCGCGAATCTCAGCTATACAAGCGAATTCTTGGACAGTCATTGAAGCATTTTGGATTGGAAGACAATAGCTCAGGTAATCTGGAAGCGGTTGAAGTTGAAGCTACCGCAGACTTCAGAAGCAACTTCCCACACTTAGTACCCCCCAATTCTAGCGGCGAGGACAGTTGCCCTTTGCCAAATTCTATTCGTAGCATGGCCAAAGAAGACAACGATCGTTTAGTACGCCAGTTCACGGAAGTGGCTGCAACAGCAGCAACAGTGGCTGCTCGGGATGCAGCTCGAAGTCGGAAGCTCAATGTCCAAAACCATCAAGCTTCCATTCGCCAAGCTAGCCGCCCTGCTCCAGAGCGATCACGAAATACCGCTGGAGAAGAGCTTGAGGATCTCGGGTTGAGTGTGGAACCCACTCATACTAGCGGAGGACATGATGCACCCAATTGGAGCAAAGTTAAAAGCTCTGTTATTCTTCTTGGGGCAACGATTCTCTATGCGGTGATTGCTGAGATTCTTGTCAACACAGTCGATGTTGTGCTAGAGAGCGTGGATATCGACGAGAAATTCCTCGGCATTACTCTTTTCGCGTTGGTGCCAAACACGACAGAGTTCCTGGTACGTTGGTTACTAACGGCTCTAGCTAAGACCATATTGCACTTAAAACTGTTAACTAACACACCCAACAGAACGCTATCTCATTTGCTATGAACGGCAACATTGCACTGTCCATGGAAATTGGATCTGCTTACGCATTGCAGGTTTGTCTCTTACAAATTCCCGCTGTAGTATTCTTCAGCGCTTTCTACGGCCGCTCACTAGACCCCTCTGAGCTTGCCAGCCATTCATTCAAGTTAGTTCTATTTTTGTCCATTCTGTCTCCAATCTAAATGCCATCACTAACAGTATATTTCAAACAGCTTGATATTCCCCCAGTGGGATATGATTACCGTCATCTTGTGTGTCTTCCTTCTCTCGCATGTATACGGCGAAGGAAAGAGCAACTACTTCAAGGGATCCATCCTTGTACTCACCTACCTCGTCGTTGTTCTTGGCTTCCATATGTCGGGCTATGTGAATATGGACAGCATGGGCGTGGATCGCTTTGATACCCTCGCTATAGGCGGCACCAGTAGTTCTGACAAGTTCTACACTGTCGGCCGAACAAGAGGCGGGGTGGCCTATTAGAGAAATTGCACATATGGACTGGTGATTGTAGCTTTTCAGCACAAGCAATTCGTTGACTTGTCTGAATTTATGTTGCATACCGAGCTTCTTTTGTTCTTTTGTTCTTCTGAATTTTGTTTTATATGGTTGATGTTTACAGTGTGACTTATTTCTTGGCATTCCTGATGACCTGGGCTCTAGGCATGATATTGCAATAATGATGATTTTGATATCGTTATCCGAGCTTTATTCCCCATATTTCTTACTATGCGGTAATGACTGACGCCAAACATGCCTTAACAAGATAATATGTAGACTCTGACCAACTTTCCAGTAGCCTAATCCCTTTTTTGGCGATCGAAGAAAAGAAAAATCGTCGCGATCAATTGAATTTAGATGGACTTGGACATCCAGGCCCCCACAACGTCATCCACCATCGCACGGTATTTCTGTTGCTTGAAGCACTGCTCCAGAAATACCTCATATTTAACGCTGAGCAAGGCTTTCTCGTTCTTATCCTCCGTCGGCAACGCCTTCTTGCCAGGCTTGCTCATCCGTTCCATGATATCCCATAGATCTTCAGTTATGCCCTGGGAATCTGCGCTGGCAGCTTTGGCGCCGAGCATAGCAGCACCGTGGCATACAGCAGCATGAATATACCGAGGAATCATCACAGGCATGTCACAGGCAGATGCAATGAGATTGACTAGGATTTCATTCTGGCATTGTGAGCCCGACATGAACACCGAAGTGATGCGATGGCCTGACTTGTTCATTGTCTCTACAATCTGCTTGGTTTGCAGCGCAATGAACTCCATGGTAGCGTAGTAGTAAATGGCAAGACCATCCACAGATTTGTCACTAGTTAGGCCAAAGATGGATCCAGTCATGTTTGGATCGGCGATGGGAGAGCGGTTGCCCCATAGATCACCATAGAAAAAAAAGTGGCGTCCGAGATAAGATACACATGGGGCTCCTTGGCTATGTGCCATCTCTTTGAGATGCCCGTTCAGATATTCGTATATGTTGGCATTGTATGACTCGGCAATTGAAGTAGCCTGGTTAAATGCCGGGTGAGTCTCAATCACATGTTTGAGCAATTCCCCCGTGGCAGATTGCCCGCCCTCGGCCATCCAGTATCCGGGGAGGATGATATCCCGATATGGACCCCAGACACCATCAACAAAAACCGGATCTGGTGACATGGCAAGGTGACATGTCGAGGTTCCCGCGACAGCCGCGAGGCGAGAGAAGGCCTCTGATTTATTAAGTTTGGGGACATCTGCGCTGGATTGACCTGCGTCCAAATCGACCTTGGATCCGACGGTACCGATCCAGCCCGCGTAGGCGTCAATTACGCCACTGCCAATGGCAATACCAACTGGTAAGCCTAGTTCGGCTGCAGCCTTTTTGCAGAGAGTGCCAACCAATTCACCGGCACTTAAATAATCACCATTCTGTGCGGCACCAGAAGTCAGTCAAACGCCTCATTTTCAATTAGGGAAAGGCTCACCACCCCGTCGACTCCGCCCATGCGCTTGAAGTTATCTTCGGTCAGGTCACCCAGACCAATGCCCTGCAAAAATTCTTTTTGCCATCCCTTGACGCTCCCATCGACACCAACAGGCACATATCCTTGCTTGCAGACCACACTGCAGAAACTTCGCTTTTCATTGCCCGTGGCAATGTGCGTAAGTGCATCCGCCAGATCATAGAACTTGCATTTGTCAAAAAGCTCCTTAGGCATGTGATTCTTGAGCCAAAGGACCTTCGGGATCTCCATCTCAACAGACATCTTTCCACCGACATAGCGGAGCAGGTTATGGTTGCTAGCATTGATCTTCGCAGCTTCCTCTACTGGACGGTGATCCAGCCACAATATCACGTTGCGGTCCGAATCGAAGTTCGGGCCCGTTACAGAGATTGGATCGTCGGTATCATTGGAGAAAACCGACAAGGAGCAGGTGGCATCAAACCCGATACCTCGAACCGTGTCCGGGTCAATGTTTTGCTGGCTAATAGCGCGCTGAACGGCGACACAAATGCAATTCCAGATATCAGAGGTAGATTGTTCCTAGAGGCTAGGTAAGTCTGATTTGGTCCACAAATTGTTTACAGATTTACCCACATAGTAACCGTGCTCTGGTTGCCAAAGTCCAATATTTTCTGAGGCCAACCCCACAATATCACCGTTAGCGTTAATGATACAGGCACGGGCACTGCCAGTTCCGATATCAATGCCAATATAGTGGTCGAGATGAACTGTCAGATCCTCCCGAGCGTCGCCGGACGCTTTCCGAGAGCTCCGGTGGGAGGCACGATGGTAGGGCAGTGAAACCATGTTGCCGTTTGAGGCAGCTCTCTACTTTTAAATTAGCAGCTATGGAGCTTTCGAATGCTACTAGCCATAGATAAGCGAGTCAGAAAACACAGGAAATAGGCTGGTCGAAGTAGACTTGCCGTCAAGATCTGAAATTATGGAGAATGGGGGGCAGGTGCATTGAATTAAGAGCATTGAAAGTGAGATGCGTGTAGAAGAGAGTAACGGCCCTGACGGAGCAGTGCTAGCTGGTACCTTCGGGGCACTTTCGGAGTACCTGGGCAACACTTAGCTTCCCGCCGGCTTTAATGTGGCAGTTGAAGTATTTGACAAGTACCATGTAAGTGTAGACAAAATACTCTGTATAGATGATGTATGCTTGTCTTCTAAATCATACGTTCTATGTTTTAATACAATTAAATACACAAGGATACATCAAACCGGTCTATTTGAGTTCAAGCAATCCAAGTGTAGCAAGTATAAAAAAAAACCGTAAGGTACATACACGTATGTAGAATATGTTTGTAATCGTGGGGGACCTCGGAAGCTCGGACCAACTTTCTTCTCCAATATGTTGACATCTCAGATTATTTCCTCGTGACTACAATTCTCATCGCCATGCGGTTCCTACAAACCATTCTCGGCGCTGTATCGCTCCTAATCTCTGTCACCAATGCCTCCCTCTCGACTGATATCCTGTACTGGCCCTTGGGATCGCCACAACCGTCCGTCCTAGCACGCGTCTCCTACGACCCAGCCTCATTGAAAGCGGATGTGGTCTCATATCACCCCCCAAGGGAAAACCAGAGCGATAGTCTGGTTCGTGTCGGTGTCTACACTTCAAGTTCCACAGACAAAAAGCAATGGGTTGGCAGTCTCGTGTCGTTGTCCTCTTTAAGTGCGAGTGAGCAGCCAACATTTCGCCTTCACCTCGGTCCAGCCAACGAAGTCTACACTGTCTCCCTGTCTGTATCGTCTACCAGTGCCCAGAGCTCAACATCTGGCCCTCGAATTGATCTCGTCTCGAATGAATCCGGGACGCAGCCTCGCCTGAACAGGCCAGTGGTTGTTGGGCCTGATGGTCAAACCCCAGAGCAACCCGAAGAAAAATCTCTTTTCCAGAAGTAGGTCGCAGATGGGCCTGTGTCGTTTCTTTCGTATGCTAATTGACAATTCAGGTATTGGTGGGTTCTTCTGATCATCACTTTCATCAGCATGTCCGGGGGTGGCGGAGAATGACATATGACTTTCGACATTTCATCTTATTACCTATTTCGAAATAATTCTTGGGTGAAACTATGCTTATTGGTCCTTTACTCTCTTGAACACGCCTCGTGTAATTGCGTGGACACAAAATACCAGCCAGAAGTCAATCCGAAGCAACTTATCTTTACACTTTCGGCTGGAGTTAACCAAGTCTAGGAATTGGTATATTCTTGCATATTCCATCTGTAGTTGGCGTACCTGCAGGAACGCACATATATACTAGTATGTACATGCTATCGGATGTTGTTGTGTATTTAGCCACAAGGCGGAGAGCACCGACAAATACCTTGGGCAGAAGAAGCATGAACTTCGTGTAGACGCAGACACAAAGCCGAAAACGCCTGATGATACCTTAAAGAAATTGATCTTGTCATCTTTCTAGTCTTTTCCCTCTTAACCACTTTCACTCTTTCTGCCTGGTACATCACACAAAAATTAGCGTTGCTACCTAGACCCACGAGGCAGCAAAAAGTCTGTGCACCGGCCTTCACAAAGTTCTATAAATCTGGGTCAGGCCCCTATATCTACTCTAGCATAGAATTCCACGTCAAATATGCTACTTCAACTTCCCACAGAGCTGATACAGCTGGTTCTTCGGAACTGCGATACACCAGCCTACTTCCAGGCAGCCTTTTCAAGCCGTAGGCTTTATGAGATCGCTTCCGGCAGCCGAGAAGTCATCATTCATCAGCTACAAGATACTCCTGGCTGGAACGATGGAATTGATGTGCATCAGACTAGGCATCTGTTTGGCGAGTTAATGAGACGGTCCTCTGAACACTTAGGTGGCGCAGAACATTCCGCCAATCCCACCTATGAGTATCAAAATCGTGTGATTGATTACCATGCATCGACAATCGAGGCATCAGAAAATGGCATTCGAGCTTTGCTTGTCTTCAAAGGCCACAGCACCGTGCTTCTGGTTAATAGGAGCGATGGGGATCGAACTGAAGTCCAATTAAAATCTCCAGGACAAGATATCGGGGAGGTCGAGATCATCCAGACTGCCTTTGATGGATACCATGGAGTCTACGTGCTGCACCGATTCAAACCATTTTTAGACCAAGATCTGGATACAGACCACCCTTTTGTTAAACACGCGCTAGAGTCATGCCCCAACGGGAGTATCCACCTGGCCTACCATCACTTGAATCTCCGGGCAAACACCATTCGAATGTATGACTTTCCCGAATCCCGAGATTATAGGCCACTGGCTTTTTCCGTTGCCAACGGCAAATTTGCTGTATCATGGCAAAGCATGCTCGACCCCTTCGATCACGAGGTCGTTCTTTATGCTCAGCTCTACGACGAGAATGATGACGATTATGTTGATGGTGACGAATATGAAAATGAGGATGGTCTGAGTGAACGTGTTATGGAAGAAGGCAAGGAAGACAATCCCTGTAAAATAATTCGTTCGTTTCGTCATAATGTCAGTATTGGAGCTGGTTTCTGACATCTCTAGATGCCACTTTGGAGGCTTACGTTTTGACAAGCTCCAACGATCAAGACCCAGATGTCCGTTTTTCTCGGAGAGCAGGTCCCGCGATGAGGTTGACATTCAATGATCGAGGCTTTCAGCTGCTCTACCACTACCGAGCTCAAACCATCTACGGTGCCTTTCAAAGACTTGATCGCCTCCCTAGCCCTCCAGGCGAGCCAAGGCCGCATGTTAACAGGAATGCATGCAACGTGCAATTTTCGCCTTTCCTGTCGCTTCAATTCTCAATTGGGATACCATTCTTCGGCACCCATAAGCTAGGCGATATAAACCAGGGAGAACGGTGTCATTGGCAGTACCTCGCCTTCGGAATTGCCACCCATCGCGTTGAAAAATGGACTGTGGCATGCCTCTTGAAGTCTGAGTCATTTACTGGTCCGCGGTGTACCCATGTTTTGAATCTTGACCGCGGAAGGCGTTTTGACAGCTGGCAGATCATGGCGCAGCTTGGTGGATTTCGGGAAGTAACCACTTCGCATGGATCTCCGGTGGCAACTTCGCGTCGCGGAACTCGTGTTGCTGTCGCTACCTGGAAAACCCTCTACATCTGGGCACTGAATCCTTCAGAATTGATCGAAGACAATATCAACGGCTTTTATCCATCATCGTGGGAATCCTCTACAGGTGCCATCGAGTTGCGACCAGTCATCCTCCAGTTAGAGGCGGTTTGCTCTCAATTGTGTTTCACCGAAAAGGAAGACGAGCTAGTTGCGATCACTGACCGTGGAGTGATGTTCCTGAATATCGGTTATTATGGAAAATAAAACAGCCCGGCAAGAGCCAGGGGCATGGCAACAGTATGTAGCAAATCCGACGAGGAGCTTGGAAGATCCAGAGTTCTACTATTCTGTTGCTAATGAGTGTGGTGGAAGTCATGAGCTTGGCTGATGAGTAGCAATGACACAGCTGCGTTTATGAGCCTTCTACAAGGTAATGGATCATATCTGAGATGAAGCAATTCTCTAAATCTCATCTGGTCAGGACGCTACCATTGTCTCTTGCAAGACTACACAACAACACCCGAGAAAATTAGCTGTGTTCATTTTTTCCCTATCCCCAGAGCAACCCGGAACACCAGAAAATGCAAAAGCACTGGCTGTATGACATTGTACATAGATCGAAAGAAAACCATGGCCCTGAGAATAATGCAAGGCCAGAAAGGGGTATCCCAGGGTCGTCATCATAGCAAGAGAAAAGAAAAAGAAAGGAAAGAAGAGCCTAGTCCAAGTTCTTGTTCTAGTTCATCTCAGAAGCGAGCCATTCGAGCACGCTCTCATAACAGAGTGCATACTGACTCAGGTTCTGTACCATGCTCGGTCTTTGTCTCCGGAAATCCTCAACCGTCTTTGCAATTAGGTCAAGATTGAAATCCCCCATCCACTCGGACGATCCGATGGGATTGTGATCCAGGCCTCCACCACCGGCAGCCTGCGCACGTTGCCGTTTCAACATGTCCAAGACACTGTCGACAGTGCAGAAGGTTCCCGTACGCCCACAGCCCGCACTGCAATGCACCAGTACTGGTCGCTGACCCTTCGGTTCTGCTTGCTGGCTACTAAAGCTGGAGTTGCTGGTGGCACGAATGACCTTGTTACATTGCTCAATCAGATAGAGAAGATGAGTAGGCTGTGATGTTGTCCCGAAATCAGGCCAGTAAGGGTAATGAAGCTGAGTGATATCCCGAAGCGGCTCGAAGGGGAAAGACGTATGGCAGATACTGAAGTTTCGCACGGTAATGGATGGATTTTCGTTTGTGCCATCATGTCGTTCGGTCGATGTCTGAAAACTGCCAACCGTGGGATCGACAGATCCACCCTTGGATTCAATATAGATGTGCTTTTCCGAATAGGCCTTGACCTCAAATGGTCCATATTTTCCAGATTCCCAGTATCGGTGGCATTTTACCTGTCCTCGTTCAACCTCTGCAGTGAGAGAAACAAGAAGTCTAACGTCTTGCTCCCACACCACACGCCAAAAGTCCTGCATATTGTGAGTAACGTAATAACAAGCATTGCGAGGGACTGCCACTCACATCAAATGTATCAGGAACGGGAGCCTGAGTGGCAATGTATTTCCGATTGGTAAATTCGGCGGAAATATGATTCGCATTAACATAATCACAGGCCCCAGATGGAATTCCCTCGAGTCGGACGCGGGAATGATCGAATGGGTAAATATCATTGTAACGATTCTTCGTGCCTTTTTCTATCCCCGCAACGCGGTATTTCTTAGGGCTACTATTGGTGTCAGCCAAAGGTCCTTCATAAGTTAAAGCCTGTTTCATGCGTTCCAATTCTGTTTTCTCCAAAGCCAGGAACTTTTTCGAGACAATGTGCCCTTGGTCCTTGGTATCGGAAGCGCCCCGCAGCCAGGAAGGGAGTTGTTGTCGCTTCGCTTCGGTCAATTGCTCGGGCTGTCTCAGAGGAATTTGGCCCACGCCTCCGAGGAGATCCATGTTCTGTCGAATATTTGCAAAGAATGGATTGACGGCAGAAGATGATTCTGGTAGGGCGCAGCCACCCACGACAGGAGCGACAGATTGTAGATCGATTCTCATGGGAGAGGGACGTTTAGAGGATAGTTCGGCCGTCTGCATTTGTAGTTGCTGGATAAGATGTGGAAATCGAGCCGAGAAACCACGAAATCCGCTTTTTAAAATCAATCCATCTCCCTTCCAGTCTTCAGCTTGGAATTTATTGAGAAGATTCAGAAGAGGTGCAGCATCCTTCAAATCCGCTGCGGCAGAATCGTAGACAATGATCACGTCACACTTTCTCCAACGAACGAAATTCTGTTTGTCGGCGTCATCCGTGAATGTACCCTCTAATTTCTGAGTATCAAATGATCGGCGCTTGAGTAGGGTAGTGGGGATGCATAAATTGAGCGATCCTTTGATATTGGCCTGTCTGAAATGAGCAAACGGACGAACATCAAATAGCATGGTGTTTGACTGAGATGATTCAAGAAGTTCAGCGCAGCGCTCGGCTGATACCCAGGGAAACAAAGCGGAAGTGGCCCCTTGAAGAAGCAATATTAGCATCTTTTATAATTTGTGGAAGATAGACAGTGGAACACATCAGTGAGTTATATGATCAGAGATAGAAGAAAAAAGAAAGATCGCTTAAAGAGTTGTCATACATACCTTGTGGAGTGGGCGCTAAGTTCTTGGCGGCTGGAAGCCTCAATTCGCTGGGTTGCACAAATGAAAAGTTTCCCAGCGGATGTGAAGGTGAGGGCTTTGACCATGAGGTCGTATGGGAAGAGAAAGATCCATGCAATGCTGATTCTCGGCGGATGCGGCTAGTTTCAGGCTCAGTCTTCAAGAGATTTTTCAATCCCGCTGATACTGATTCTTGGGAAAACACCGGTAATTTAGAACTCGACAGAGGTTGTGGATGGGGTAATATGCCCCAGTTCTTTTGCATGGACAGCCCTGAGTTGGAGATCTGTTGATTGCCGGGGTTTTGCACTGCCATGCCAAAATAATTGGGACTTGATCTTTCTGTAAAATCCGAGCTCGAAATCATGCCTGTGGTTGATGGGGACATGGTAGATTGGAAGGACTGTGTGAAACCACCGTCATGATGACCACCTTGAGCACTTTGTACCCAAGGTGAGGAGGGTGAGCGCCCTGAGCCTGTCATGGCAGGCAGGTTGGCTTCCACGACTCCTGCTCCTGATCTCTCAAAACACGATCAGATCGAACCTTCCCTGGCAATCACAACCGCAGCTGTGTATCAGATAGTCACAAACGGGTTCTCAAGGATCAGACTGACAAGTGCCCCAAGCTCTCGGACCAAGGTATCAGGGTCTTCGAAGACCTAGGACGGTGGCAGAATCGCAGGTCATAAATGGCATCCAATACACAAAGGCAAAAACGATGCTGTCTCTCAAATGAGAGTGTCGAAGAGAAGCGTAGGCAAAACTTCAGATGGAAGGACCTCGAGATATACGCAACTGACGTAGCGAGAGACAAAGAGGGGCAACAAGAAGTGAATAGACCAGGGCCCAGCCAAAGAGGAAAACCGGTGGCCAATGGAATGAAAAATGCCAAATAGTGGGGGATGAACAGGTCTGATATCAGAGAGGGGCACTTGTGTTATTGCATGATTAATAATCGACTGAAACTAGCCCTGGGAGCACTGAGTTGAAGGTAAATGGGTGAAGAAGAAATTTGGGGGCTTCGAGAAGAAAAGGTATGACGTTGTTGTGTGGGGGATCACGGGTTCAACTTTAGTTCTGACGTAGGTGCTTTTTTTTTCTATATCTCAATAAATGTAAATGTAAATATATATCCAGGGTATTCAGATAGACGTCCATCATGCATCTACCTCCAAGAAAATAATCAACATGTTGTAGACCCGGATCTATGAGAATACATAGTTGTCAAACACTACGTACAGAGAACCCAACTGGTAAAGTCTCCAACTAGCTGGGCTCCGGGAGCTACATATAAAACTGACTAAGCTTTGAGTGATGACCTCCTCCAACCTTGGAAGGTTCCAATTTAGATTAACATGGATCGATGTATCCATTTATCAACACACGCATCGATGAGCTCGGAATTTAATTATGGACTTGTCTTTAGGTCATTTATTAACAGTGACCTCATCCCAGTCCCGGTGAGTAGTGAGTCTCCAAGAGACCCAACCATGGAGCGGTTCCACTCATGCAAGTTTCACGTCAATATGACAAGCGAAAAACAAAGAGGCGACAGATTCGGGAGGGGAAAGAGAGATCCATGGACTTATTTCACCAATTTCACGGTCAATTGCCCAGCGTATAGGACTTGGGAAGCGGAAAGATTGCATCCTGTGTACAACTTTTGAGAGGCCGAGAGAGTGAGCGAGACCAATTCCAATGGCTGCACCTAAGTATGGATACTGGTGCAGAGCATACGTTGTATACGAAGGCCAGCCAGATAATTGAGTGGATGACCCCCCCC